TGTGGTTGCTGTGTGTGAAGGAGTTTTATCATATAAAACATGTTACAAGTAAATAAGAATAAGAAAGCTGTGCATCACATCACATAAAAAGGTACATAACATTGCATTGTTTCCAGCAATAGATAATGAAAATAATATTTTATGTTTCTTGGTATTCCAAAATATCTCAGTGATATTAAAACAAACTTTTTATGTGAACAAGATTTCAGAGAAATATCAAACAAGTGAAGTATGTGGTTCAATTCAGACAGTTCACCAAAACTGTTGTTTAAGAATTTGTTAGCAAAGCCATTCACATCCGTGTTTTTCTTCCTATTTAATATTAACCACAGTTTGCCAATTTGCACAATATCACAAGTTAAAAAATGAAGTAAAGAATGATGGAAATTAAGCCTATGCTTTGTTTCCTAACCCTATAATTTATAAAAATGTATCTTCCTGAGCAGTTGAAATACTATACTGAATCAATATAATTAAAAGGGTTTTTTTGTAGTCGTTATAGAGAATTTATAATGCAAGACATGTAGAACTATTTTCCAGGATCTAATTATACAAAATCAATATTCTATTTGTGCAGTCAAGTTGTCCTTCCTTTATTTAAAACTGCTTCCAAAGAGTAGAGGACAATTCAGAACGTTGTGAGGATCAATTTGTCTGAGTAGAAGTGCCTTCTTGTCATGGAGATGTACCTCTGCTGTCAAACCTTGTGATTGCAATGTACACTTATAAGGATGCATTCAGAAATATTATTCTGTAATGCAGAGAGAAGGATTAAATTAATATGAGGACTGGTAGCCTACATGCAAATGATACATAATTGCTTTGTTTGTAAAACAAAGTACAAAGTTAAAAAAGCACCATTCTCCTATTAAGTTTGATAGAACCATTTGCAATTTAATTTTTTCTTACTGCCAGATGTTCTTTCGGTGACTACTAATTAGTGTCAGTAGTATGATCATGATGTAGTAAGCAGCAAGGAATGATGGAAGTCAGAGATCAGAGAACTGGTTTTTATGCGCTTATGGTGAACCTAGGTTTATTGTTTCAATAGTGGCAATTTCTCTTAAGTTTAGCCTGGAAATAAATTTCATTAAAACCTTGATGCCACTACCTCAAAATAATGAATGTACAGTTCTTAATTGTTTTTTCCCTAATATGTATAGGTGTAAGGAACGGGATTTTTTAAAAAAGTTCTGACTTCTATTTACTTAAAGGACCATTTGGTTACAAATAAATAGATGTTATTTAACAGGTAATTTAGGATATTGGTTGTATTTAAAGGTACAGCAGAACAAAATTCCTCCTGGACTACCAGTATTTCTATTTTCATACACAGTATACAGTACTTTTTCCTTGTTGTGTCCAACGGTTAATTGTGAGTATGGTGGCACACTGGTTAGAATACAGTATTGCAGGTTATTTCTGCTGACAGTTCAGCAGTTTGAGTCTCACCAGCTCAAAGTTGACTCAGCCTTCCATTTTCCAAGGTGGGTAAAATGAGGACCCACATTGTTAAGGGTAATATGCTGACTCTTAACTGCTTAGAGAGGGTTGTAAAGCACTGTGAAGCGGTATATAAGTCTTGGGTGCTATTGCTGTTGCTTCTTTTGACTTCCCTTCTCTGTCCGGTTCTTGTAAGCTCTTCCTATTCTTACTGAGATTCAGATAAAGCAACTACTGTATCTACTGTATTTCTACTTGATCACAATAGTTTCATTTTTCATCTTCTTCATCTCAAAATGTTCTGAAGTGATGAATGTAATGATATTTCTTTCTCTTTACAGAGGCTGGTTATGTTGCTACACCTATAGCAATGGTACAGGCTGCTGTAGCACTTCTTAAGGACAAGAATTCACTTCCTAAAAAGTGAGTGTTTATCCTCTAATCGTAAAACATCTTATTTTGCATCCTATAGTTATTAGATGAAAATAAGTACCAGAGAAATTTCACAATTGTTGGTGACAGTTTTTTCAAATAAGTTGAGTGAAATATACAGATAGTCCTCGACATGCGACCACAATTGAGCCCAAAATACCTGTTGTTAAGTGATATTTGTTAAGTGAATTTTGCTCCATTTTACGACCTTTATTTGCCACAATTGTTAAGTGAATCACTGCAGTTAAAAAGTTAGTAACATGGTTGTTAAATGACTTTCCCCTTGATTTTGCTTGTCAAAAGATTGCAAATGTGACCTTGGGACACAGCAATGCTCATAAGTATGAACCAGTTGCCAAGCATCTGAATTTTTATCACATCATCATGGGGATGCTTGCAAAGGTTATAACTGTGGAAAAATGGCCATAAGTTTCAATGTTGTTGTAACTTTGTAACTTTGAAGAGTCACTAAATGAACCGTTGTAAATAGAGGACCAACCGTATTTAAGGATAAGAAATTAAATGGCAAAATCCTACTGGTTGAATAGTTCCATGCTATAATAACTCTCCCATTTTATAAGCCCTCATATCAACATATTTTGAGCTATTTATAGAAAGCTGGCAGTGGGGAATAAACATTAGAAACACTACAAGCAGTCCTCAACCTGTGACCACATTGAGTCCAATTTTTTTTGTTGCTATGCAAGGCAATTGTTAAGTGAGTCACACCTCATTTTATAACTTTTTTGACATGATTGTTAAGCAAATCACTGCAGTTAAATGAATTATGTATTTGTTAAGCAAATCTGTTTTCCCCATTGATTTAGCTTGTCGGAAACGCCCTAGGAAGGTTGTAAATGTAAATATGTGGCATTTGCCAAGCACCTGAATTTTGATCATATGATTGGGGGGGGGGGGACACCACAATGGTTGCAAGTGTGAGAACTGGGCATAAGTCTTTTTTTTTCAGTGTATGGTAACTTCAGTCACTTAGCAAATGGTTGTAAATTAGGGACTATTTTTATAAGGAATTTGATTAACTATGTTTTGTATGCCATCCAAACTTGGTTTGTGAATAAGAGAATATCATATTACTCTATGAATAGTTACTAATAGTTAGACGGAAAAAAAGTTACCAGTTTCTTCAAACCTGCTTATCAGGTTTATGATTTGAGCTGCAGTCTTATGTACCTGGATATGTTTTATTGAATTCAATAAATTTACAATTGTGTAATCATGACTATTGCATTAGTTACTCCATAGTTATTTCATGCATCCAATTTATAAAATCACTGTTATGGTTTTTTCCTTTTTAAAAAAAATTACAAACTGTTCGCATTAAGATGAATGATTTTTGGATTATATCGGAAGAAAATCCCATCTTTAACCCCCAACTTGCATTAATATTTGCATTAACATGGTTTGTTGTAAAAAAAAATAGGCTTGCTTTTATTTGTGTGTTGCTAACTGCAAATGTGATTTGTTTTACAGAGGTGGTGTCTATTCTCCTGGGGCTGTGTTCTACAAGACAAAACTTGTGGAGAGACTGAACAAGCACGGAATTGAATTCTCTGTCATAAGCAAGTCTGAAGTCTGAAAAGAAAATCTACAAATACAACCTGACCAGCAGCTCTTTGTGTGTGTGTGTGCACGCGCATGCACTTTCAAAATGAAATAATAATAAAGTTGATAAACTTAATATGTATAGTGTAACGATACTGTTGCTTGAATGATTTACATGAGAGTTAGAAAGATGGACTTATTAGTATTGGAAATAGGTAACTGCCATTAACTAATTAGCAATGGTTAATCTAATGGAATGACTCAGAGAGCCCTCTTGCTTTTTAGAAACAAACCCAATTTCTAGGAGACATTAAATCTAACTCTGATCCATTTAATTTTTAATCAGTAACTATACTTTTTTCCTATTTGATTTTTGAAAGTTATTGCAGATTAAATTGTGGAAACTCTGCCAACTGATCAAATATTGAAGGTGGGAATAAATTCCATTGGCATCTTGTTGACTAACGGAATAAAGTAATTGTCCGTAAGTTAGGTCTTAGTCCAGTCATTTGGTATTTTTCTATATTTGATTGTTTGCTATAGCATTATGAAAGCATTTAACTTGTTCAGTTAAACTTCATATCTTAAGTATCCATTCCAGCTGAAACATACCTGAATATCTGGCGTTTTAAGAACTAATCTCATACTTAGTTGCTGTTATTTTCTTTGTTATTTTTCAATGCAATAAAAGGATTGAAAATCTCTGTTCAGTTTCATAAATGTTTAAAGCATAATTCAGTTATAGTGTAAGAATTAGTATGATCCAATAGGTTAAGAAAATGTATTTCATCCTATTTTAGATAGTATGATGGAAAATGGAATACCATCTCTAAATTTATTAGCTCAAATTAAAAGCAAGATTATGAATCCTTATATTTAATGCTGAAAGCCTTTTTTATGTCCCGAACAGAAATGGGATGTTCTGGAATTGCTCATGTTTATTCACAATTTAGGAGGCAATGAGATCATCAACAACATAAATCACATGGATATATAGAAATCTAAACTTTTATTAGGACTTGTGGTACTGATAAAGAGAGCTAAGAAAGTCTGATTCCAATAAAAGAGAAAGCTGAAACAAGCAAAAAAGAAACCTTAAGACAGTTTAGGAACTATTTAGGAGACAACCACATCCCCACCAATACTGGCAAGGCAAGCTTCTGAATAAACTGAACAAACCCCACACTCACATGCACTGATGATGTCACCTAGTTGGGTAATGAAATGTCTGCAAGCAGGCAACCAAGCCCAGAGAGCATCAAGAACTCCATAAGTCTCATTGTTTGGAAAGGAAAGTTCATAATTAGCAACAGTAACAAAACTTTCTTATTAATCTCTTGTTGGAAAGAGTTGAGAATGACACACAGTACTACCTCTATTACAATGAATACTAAATTCCAGTATACTTCCTTCTATATTGTGAACAAGGTTTAAAGGAAGAAAATTTTCAAAAAGCTAATGTTGAAATTGTGAAGAAATTAGAAGGCAGTTGACATATAATGATATATGTAATTACTGATTTAATTTCCAACTCACTTAATATTTTACTTGGTAAACCACATTCACTTAATGCCTTGCTGTAACCTAGCCTCTCGTTTCTTCTTAACTATTAAGGCAACATCATTTTTCAGTTTACTTATACTTGACTCAAGTTGTTCTCCAAAATCCTTCAACAAGTGTGATTGTCTCTCAGTAAAAAGTCGAAGTAGTTGGATGTTATCTTCATCCTAAAAATAGAATAAATAACATTCTTTCCTGTAATATTGTATAGTAAAAAATGTTTAAATAATAGTGCGGTTCATAACGTCTATCAAGGAAATAGGAACTTTGATACGAAAACAGCAAATGGACAGTCTATAGAACAAAGTTTTTTCAACAAGGTACTTTAAATAATTACTGTATACATTAATTGATATTTATCACATTAGTCACCAACAATTTTGATTTAGAATAGAAAGTATTTTTAGTATCCTAAATTTGAAGCCTCTGGATCAGTGGAGCAGGTTCAAAAATTTTTAATACTGGTTCTGTGAGTGTGGCTTGGTGGGTGTGGCTTGGTGGGCATGTCAGGAGAAGGATACTGTAAAATCTCCATTCCTTCCCCACTCAAGGGGAAGGTTACTGCAAAATTCCCATTTCCTCCCAATCACTTGGGACTCAGGAGGCAGAGAATAGATGGGGGTGGGGCCAGTAAGAGGTGGTATTTACCGGTTCTCTGAAGTTCTCAAAATTCCCACTTCTGGTTCTCCAGAACTGGTCAGAACCTGCTGAATATCACCTCTGATCTGTTTATATTTAAAGCAAGAGGGGATAAGCCTAAGCTTTGTTGAGGCCTCCCTGGCAGCAAGTCAAGGTACCCATTTTGGCCCTAATCTAAAATTGGCCCAGTTGATGGTGGTGATCTGGGGGCTATAAAAGGCTGTGAAGAAAGTACTAGGTGTGAAAACCTGAAGAAAAATAAATTACTCAGACCTTGTGGAAATGATATCCAGAAAACACAAACTGTTTAGAACTAAGGAGAACATAATCTGCGTCTTTCCAAGATAATTATAATATATACCGGGGCTCTGTAGTGTTGTAGTTTTAAGAACTGTCCTCTGATCACATTCATTTTCTGGTAGAAGGATTTGAGAGCTTTAGCAAATTCAGCATCACAGCTGACCCGAGAGCTGCACACTGTGCGACTATCTCTTGATGCTGCTGAAATTATCTTATTAACGTGGAGTTTTGAAGGAGATTTTAAGATCTTACCTATAAGAAGATTTAAAAATCAGTATCAATGGATTGAGAATAGGAATGCATTGTACAGAAGGGGACCCACCATAAAATGTTAGAGTGTTATTTGTTTGAAGCTCAATTTGCAATCATACCTAATCTCAAATTTAGAATACAGTTGTTAACAAAATACAGGTAGTTCGTTATTTAAAACCATTCTTTAGTAACTGTTCAAAATTACAGCACCACTGGAAAAAGTGACTTATGACCATTTTTCACACTTAAAACTATTGCAACAACCTTGTGGCCATGTGATAAAAATTCAGACACTTGTCAATTGACTCACATTTATGACTGTTGCGGTGTCCCAGGTTCTTGTGATCACCTGCAATCTTCTGACAAGCAAAGTCAGTGGGAAAGCCAGATTCACTTAACAACCATATTACTAACTTAACTACTGCAGTGATTCACTTAACAACTGTGGCAGGAAAGATTGTAAAATGGAGTAAAACTCACTTAACAAATGTTTCACTTAGCAACAGAAATTTGGGGCTCAATTGTGATGATAAGTCAAGGACTACCTTTAAAGCTCTTGTCTGTATCCTAATTTTGTTGTGATATTTGCAATCATGCATCATAGCTTAGAAATTTGTGATGTGGTACTTAAGTTGTTTGACTGGTAACACCTAGATTCAAATCCACTCTCGGCCACAGAATCTCATTGGGTGACTTGAGGCCAGGAAGTCCAACCTTCATCACAGGATTGTGCGGGGGGGAGGGGGGATATAAGGAACAGTATTTATGTACACTGCTTTTGCTCTTGAATTGCTCTGTTGGAAAACAGATATTAATAAATAAATAATAACTAAATAAATGATCTTCAGAATACCATCCCACTACAAAGTCAAAAATGAATATTTCAGATGAAACCAGTTGGAGCCACCTGATTTTGTGGCCTAAAGGTGGAGCTCTAGCCTCACAATCAGGAGGTTGTGAGTTTGATCCTAGGCAGAGGGGAGATGTAGGGTCTCCTGCTTGGGCAGAGGGTTGGACTAGATGACCTGCAAGATCCCAACTCTGTTATTCTGTGGAGCATTCCATCCCGGTCTCAAGTTAATAAAATAATTATTTTAAAAGTTCCCGTTCTCAGCAATTCTAGATGGGTTTAAGAAATGTTTGACATTGTACTTCAACAACATCTGGAGGGCTATAAGCTTTGGTAACAGCTGGCTTATCAATTTCAAAGTAAACATAAAGAAAAGTAAAGAATTACATTTTTACTTACATTTTACTTCTGTAAGATACTTACAGAAATGGGTTTCTGCCTCATATTCTTTCAGTTTAGCCTTCAGATGTATGTTTTCCTCTGTCAGAGATCTATTAATATCTCTAAGTAATTCAGTCTCTTGTTCTAGTTTTAACAGCTTTTGATAAAGTTCAGCAATATGGCTTTCTGTATCCTGAATAAAATATATTATTATTATATTATTTAGGATGTGTGTATGCAATTATTCAGATGGAAATTGCGATTAATAATGCAAGCTTTTTCATTGAATTAAAATGGTTATTGGCAATTTAAAAGCAAAGCCCAGAGCTTAGTGCAGAATGTTTGAACTGAAGTCACAGAATAAATACTTGAAGCCATTTGCAGACCTGGGAGGGCAGGGGCACCAAAACGTGCTGATAATTTATAAATCATAAAGTACATAAGATCTCCCTTTGAAGTTGGTTACTGTTGAGTATGTTTCTGGAGAAGCCTTCATTCATATGGGAATCACTTCCTCAAGAAAAAAGAAAACAGCTGTCCCATCAGCAAGAAACAATTATATTAATGACTGCAGATATACACATTACAGAGACAAAGACAAAGACTTGGGACATTAAATCAATGCCAATTCATAGCAACCACATAGATTGACCAACTCCAGAAGCTCTTCCCCATCTTGGCTCTTCAGAACTTCCAGCGTATTGCTGCTGTATGGTAATATCTGATCTAATGAGACACGGTATCACTAAATAAATCATTTTTCCTTTCTATAATAATGGGAATCACTCTCAAAACAGCAGTTCAGAGTGGAAGCTGATCCAGATAGGAATATTGCATGAGCTAAAGACTAAAATCCCATCATACAGTCCTACGTTGGCTATCCTTCAAAAGCAATAGCTGCTCACTTCTGAAAAATAATTCCATAGTTGAGAACTGAACGTATAAAGGCACATCTGTTTAAAGTTTGCCAAGTTAGGAGCATGACCCTAAGCCACCCAGAGTTATTCTGTGGTAAGATGAGCAGCAATAAATTTAATTAATCAATAGCAAAATGCAGCCCTAGTAAGTACATGAAAATTCCCAGAAACCACATGGAAAGTTCAGGCCTCAAGTTGGGAAGTCTTCTTAACCTGTTTCTCCTTTATCAATCATTCTCATATTTCTGTTTTCCTAACAGAAGAGGTAGCCTTTTTCTGATTCCCTACTTTTTCCTTTCTGCTGGTTTCTTCGGGATTTAGGTCAGAACTCGTGATGTTAATTCACCCCTTAATTCACCCCTTTCTTCTAGCACCGTGATGGCGAACCTATGGCACGTGTGCCAGAGTTGGCACGCAGAGCCCTCTCTGTGAGGGCGCACGCTGTCACCAGCTGCTCTTCTGTTTCCAGCACGCACATGCACACCAGCCAGCTGGTCTTCACAGGCACTGGAGCACTGGAAAACGGCCTGAAAAACAGCCCAAAAACCGGCTGTTTCCTGGGCCTTTACCAGGCCATTTTTGGGGCATTTCCCAGGCTATTTTTCGGGCCTTTTTCAGGCCATTTTTCGGGCCTTTTTCCAGCTATTTTTTTGGGTGTTTTGGGCCAAAAAAAAACCCGGCCTGAAAATAGCCCTGAAAATGGCCAAAGCCAACCAAAAAAACAGGCATGTGTGCGCCGGTCAGCTGGTCTTAAGGTTTCCGGTGCTCCGGCACACACATGCACACATGTTCCGGTTTGGGCACTTGGTGCCGAAAAGGTTCACCATCACTGTTCTAGCATATCAATGGGATTTTTTCCCTTCCTTTTAGTCCTGATCCCTTTATCATCTATAGTAATCCTGGCAGCAGTTCGATATTGGTTGCTCTTCCAAAACTCTGGGACGGACAGTTGCCAACGTTGGGAAATCTGTTTCTATTATGTTGCAAGGGAGCTGTGATACTATTCCTACAATAGTGCTTTTTCCCCATAAACATTTGTGCAAGATTGAATGTCAGTCCTGAGGATATCCCAAATGATGTGAGAATGCAATAGCATCAAACTACACTCTTCAGTAAATCTCCCATTAACTGTTGCCACAACGATCTCCTCCAACCTTTGAAGATTCTGAACAGTGGGTCAAGAAAGTAGGGTCTTTCTGTCCAGATGATCCAATTCCAGGCAACATTTCCAGCCTTATCACACATATAACATGTTATACCACCAGTCCCACTGTCCCACTCCAGTATAACTTTATACTTCTTTCTCTATTCGCTTAACCTTTTCTAATTGTGGCCTTTCCCCAACAACCTTCTAGGATCCTCTTCCCCCTTTCCCTGGACTCCCTCCTGACTCTGTTTCATGCTCCTTCTCTATTCAAAATCAGGACAAGCACATAAAAGCATGCATTATTTGAGCTGTGTAGAAATGAAGAATACACTATTTTTAACTGCTGGTCACACACTCACCAGATCACCTTGTATTAAAATCCCCGCTTTTGGATTATCGATAATATATGAGCCTTCGCTAATGACAGCCATGCCTTCCTCAGTAGAACACAATTCTGCACATCCTTCTGTAGGAGCAGGAAAATATTGTTACTTAAGAAGCATGCAATATTTTCTAGCTGAAAATAGGATCATTTTGTGTCAATATCATTTATTTTTCTATCAGGGATCCTGAGTAACCTTGAAGTTACTTGGACTGATATGCCCTTAGGCTTCAGAATTTTATTTTACAGATTCTTTACATCATGCTCCTAAATAAATTAGCCTCAGCTGCCCCGGGTGATCCTTCTTCGCCTCTCACCTGATGGCATATTCTGCTACTTAAGGTCCCTGCAGGCATCCCACTCCTAGCCAACAACCACCATTATGATATTGCTCATGCTCAGTATCCTAGGGAAACAAGGAAGCATGATAGAGGACCCAGTGTCACCTAGGAAGGCTAAGCATGCTGGACGAATGACATCCAAGTGATGTCATGCAGAGTCACTGGATCAAAGAGATGGATGGCTTTAAAACTAAATAAATAAATAAACTGTTTCCAACAGAACAGTCAGAATTTTGTAGCTGTGGTAGTCTAATAATGAACAAGCAAGACGTAATAAAGAACCAACCAACAGTAAAAAGAATTGTGCATTTGGTCCAAAAGTCAATAGTACAACTTTCTACACTGAAAATTGAACTTGATCTGGTATAGTATTGTAAGGTTTTTGAATTCAGCTCAGAATCTGATAATTCCAATGTAACTCTGAACACGAGGCTACTGATTATCAGTTTTTATTTTCTGGAGAAAGCAAAAAGACTTGATGGCATTTTTGTCTCCCACCTTAACAGAGCAGGCATAAAGAGAGAAAAAAAACAGGCTCGAGCCTCACCGTCTTGTGGGAAAAAAAACTTTTTGTCAAACTTCTTATAGTTTTACACAGCTTGCACAGCTCATCATAGTATTAGAAACATTATTTCATGTTACACAAATATCATGATTTTTCTCAGTGCACTGAAAACAATGGACCTTAGAAGAGGAAAGAAATACATTTGCTGGGATATAAAACAGAGCTTTGTTAGGAAATGCTGAACACACATTTCAAGTTACAAGCAAGGTTGCTTGACACAGTCCACTTGTTACTTTACTAGGCTAAGCTTGGCAATTCCCATGAGGTAGTTTCTTAAAGGAGACAGTTCTTAATTTCTACACTAGCTATA